ACCAGTTTATTATTTCACAGTCTTTTCTTACATGATCTCACATCAAATGCTTTTAAATATCCATAATAACCTGAAATTAGTATTGAAATGCATGTATGTTATCCAAATTTGAAAGCACTCATATTTTGTATCTCCCTTTTCTTTAAAATTGTTGGTTTCCTTTTTACAGTTTCATATATGTAAGCTACATGTCATAAAGAAAACAAATGCATCTGGACTAAAACTATTTCAGATATATTTATAACTGAGATAGTACATTATTAATCATGCATTTCAGCCTGCTGCTTTAATCCTGTTCAAAAAAAAACCAAACAAGCAAGCAACAAACCAGAAATAGAACTGGCACAAATCCAACCTTTACTAGAAGTGTTTTCCCTCTACTTTTCCAGCTGGAGTGAAAAAGCAGAGAGAGTGACCATATAGAGAGATGCAGCAAATGGATGGGAACTTGAGAACAAACCACAACTGCTGCCCAGGTGACAAAACAGAAGAATCTTCTGCTGTTCCAACTAGAAAATACCAAATTTATCTTCAGTAACAGGGAACTCAACTGAAACGTTTTGGAGCAAAAATATCCAAAAATTTTAGTGTCCACATAGTGAGCAGGAGGGAAACACACCTAGCAGTTTTAATTCTAGGGAACGGAAGACAACAGAAAGACCTAACTCAGTTCAAATAAAATGAAGGAAACACAGAGGATACTTAAGTGAAACTGGTATTTGTTCAGTACCTGTCTCCGTTCTCGACGAGACAAAGTGTTTCCATGCAGGATTCTCCAGAGCATCCTTGCAGCTATTTTGGTGTCAATCCACAGTAATCGAAAACCGTGGTAATAGTGCTTCAGTTCATCCACAACCCTCTGTCCAAGAGATTTTTTCACAACTTCCACTTCTGTTGGACTATACACAGGACCTCCTTCTTCCAGCTTCTTGTTTTTGTCCTTTAAGGACTTCAGTGACTTTTCAACTATGGAGTCATCTTGAAGGGGACGTGAAGAATGCCACCATCTAACTGGGAGATACTGGGGACCTAAAACACCCAGGGTTGCTAGTGGCGTCCATGAGCCAGAAGAGCTCGTAAGAGTAAAGTATATTTGTCCAGATCCTTTAGTCCAACAACAGTAGTGATCTTTTTTGGAGAATGCGTAAACAGGAGGGACACTAGTGCAATATTTAAAGTGTACAGTCCTTCAAAAGAAAAATGCATCCAAGAATTAGCAACAGATCATAAGTTATTTATATATATAATACACACTTGTATAGTTATATATATTTATGTGTTTATAAAGTGCATAATTTGAAAAATATCTACAACATATTTAAGGAAAAAAAAACACAAACTTTTGACTCCTAAGATCAGTGTTCATACCTGAAAAGAACACGTGGCTTTACTTCATGGAAAAAAAAAAATTAATCTGCAGGGAATGTTCCATTAAACAACTTTGAAAAGGTACTTGATTCTACTCCAATTAAATAAAGAGTAGCTACCAGATGTGCTTTCCATTTAGAAAGCTACATTTGAAAATTATTCTTCAAATTCATAAGTAACATAAAGACCCTTTTATTAATTCTACTGTTTGAGCAAAACACTTGAGAAAAAGAAACAGAAGCTGTACACTTGGGATAGGTGCTGAGTCAGAGGAAGACAATTAGTGTCAGAGAAATCCGATTTCATTAGAGTTCCTCTCTTACAATCTCCATGCATTTAGTTTTCCTTTTTCAGCAGAAACCTTTGCAAAAAATTCCATCATGGTGCTGATCTGGGGCACAGAGAACCAGCACTCTTCTACCTTGTTCAGAATTTTGTTATTTTCTTTAATTAAATGTAGACTGAAGTTAGTAGGGAAGCACTGCCCAAACACCCCAAAAGCTCCTATTATACACAGAAGAACTGCTTGTTACTCAAAAGTAGAACCCTACACACTTATAAGGAGACAGGATAAAATTAAAATAGTAGATAAACTGCTATATAAATTAGTTCCATTAGATGTCTCTCAAACTGAAATGCCAGCATTAAGTCATCTACAGGACAGAAATGACTGGGGTGTTTCTTCATGGAACCCTTGTACTAACAAAACAAAATCAGAATGTGCTTTTGTCTTCAATGAACAGAAAAGAGGAGCAAATGGCTCTGCAGGTCTTAGTAACATTTTAAGAAAAAAAAAAGGTTTACTGAACACTTGTATTAACCTCCCTCACTCAATTTTCAGCCAGAAGCACTTTTTAAACTTAATTATCACAGGTTCCGATGGATTTTAAATTCCCTTAATGGTTTTGTCTACTTTAAGTTATTCAAATATAGCTTTGTACAAAAAAAAAAAAAAAAAAAAAAGAGAAAGACTGAATTATTTCTTTTTAAAGTTACATTATTATTTTCTAGTTTAAATTAAATTGTTAAACATCTGACTGTTCAATGGTCAGGCAACTGCTGAAATATACAGTTACCCAAAACAGTCTCTTGATTACCTATAAAAGTACACATTTGCACAGATATTAACTGATGAGAATGAGAGGTCTCTTAAGAAAATAAAGTACATATTTAAAACCAGATTAAAACATTTGCATAAATTAATCCACCCTGACTCTAGGGCACTGCCCAAAAGCAGAGCTCCAGGCCTACAGATCAAGTTCCACCTACATACATTGACACTCTTCTGCATGGAGAGAGGAAGGGAGCTCTGCCAGCAGAACTGGTTCTGATTCTGCAGGGAAAAAAAAATTGCAAGAAATGTGCCTCTCTGAACACACTTTTACAAGCAGGAGGTCAGACAGACTTCTATCCCAGTCTGTCCTCAGTATTTGTAACAACAGAGTTCCCTGCTTTCAGATCTGGGACATGTGGGGTGCAGGCACTAGCTTGTTTTATTTTAAGCAGCAAAATACATTACATTAACAGTAATTTTTATTTAAAAAAACAACAACAAAACAAACAAACTAAAAAATTTGTTTGACTTGGAAGGGACTTTATACAGCATCCATTTCCAAACCCCTGCCATGGGCAGGGACACCTTCCACTATATCAGGTTGCTCAGAGTCCCATCCAGCCTGTGCTTGAGCACTTCCAGGGACGGCGCATCCACAGCTTCCGTGGGCAACCTGTCCAGGGCCTCACCACCACACAGCAAAGAATTGCTTATGTCTAATCTAATCCTACTCTGTTCCCTCCGTTCCCTTGACAAAAGTCGCTCTTCACCTCTCTGTATGCCCCTTTAGGTACTGGAAGGCCTCCCTAGTGCCTTCTCTTCTCCAGGCTGAACAATCCCAATCCTCTCAGTCTGTCTTCAGATGAGAGGTGCTCCAGCCTACAGGCTTAAAATCATACGTTTGCAAATTTCCAAGAGAGAGGTGTTATAAGACTTTCAGTATAAGTCTCTACTAAAATGTACATAGATATTTGAAAATGCTTCATGTATTTTTAAAAAAACTACCACTATTAATTGTGCAGCAAGTGATATAGAGATAGCATGTCTGGAAAAGAATTAGTTTGTTTCGCATTAAAGGGTTGTGTCTAGAGACACATCTTTATGTTAAACTGGAAACTCAGGAAATCGAAGAATAGTCACTGTGTCCTGAGCAGTTT